GTTCTTTAGAGAAGCAAAACCAGTGAAACGTGTGGGTATGTGGGGGGGTGAGTGTGTGGGCATGCACATGTATGTGTATTCACTCACTCTCTGCCATCGAGTCAGTTCCAATTCATAGTCACCCTCCATCAGGTTTCTTAAGCTGTAAATCTGTAGTCTTAGTTGAAGGAGATTACCCATCTTTCAAATTACTGGAGATCTGAAGCCTTTGGATTAGCAATGTAACACATTGCAAGGGTTGGAGACACAAAAAAAGAGAGAGAAAGAGAGGGGGGTAGAGGATCAATTTACCTTAAGGAAATGACTCATATGTTTGTAGAGGCTGGCAAGTTCCAAGTCAGCAGGCTTCTGGCGAATGTGGCTACAGGGCCTACCCATGACTGGCAGTTAAGACAGCTAGTTGATGACTCAAGTACAAACACCAGAGATCAGATGACAGCAAGTCAGATGCAGGATCCAGGTGGAGCGAAAAGCCAGAGAGTTTGTTGGCGTGTAAATATATATTGTATGCAAACCATACTGCAAGGACACCCCCTTTAAGCTGACTGTTCCAAACAGACCTCATTATGGAGGTGATAATATTAAATTAGATCTCACCAGGTCTCCTTATGTCCTAAACAGCATTTCAATAAAGAAACTTCACTAATGGATGAGAATTTTCATTTCATAGCTACAATTGTATGGTTTTATTATTTGTGAGAATTAACAATTTTTCAGTTTTTCTTACTAATGAAATTTCTTCTTTAAGGCATCTTTTTTAATAGAGTATATAAGATATGGCCAATATTCTGATTAGATCAGTGCATTAGGGTCACACAGCTGTCAATAGTGGAAGAGAAACATACTACAGGGGCAGTGGGGATACATGACAGTGGAAAGGAATCATCTTTATCATTTTCAATCATCTATTTGTTAAGTCCTAGCTCCGGGCTGGCATCTGGAACTTAACATTAATTCCAGTTATAGGGTGGAACATAAGTTTAGGAATCCTCCTCTGGGATTTTCATCTAATAATCCAGCATTATATCTCGCTTCACTTTCCTAACTGGGCTAGCTATTCCAAACTTTCACAAAGGAGCACACTGTTTGATGGGTGGAGGGAACCAGTGTGAGGGACAATATATACAAACTTTGTAGGTAAACCAGTGTAAAGTTTAAAAAAAATGAATTGCAAGAAATTAAAAAAAATTAAAAATAAACAAAGGAGCAGTAGTTGTGTAGTGTGTTACATGCTTGGCTACTCATCAACAGTTGGTCAACAGTTGGAATTTGCCAGCTGCTCCTTGAAAACAATGACTGGTATCTTCCAATAAAGATGGGAACCCAAGAGACGGTGACCATGAGCCAGAATGAACTTAAGTGCAACTGGTAGATGGGTAGCTGTTCACAACTGCCAGAACCAGCCAGAACCATTGTAGGCTGTGCCACAATGTCTTACACATCCTGAGTATTCAACAATTTTTAATTACATTGACTGGTTCTTACCATCACTGTCACCATGAAAGGCACACGTAAAAACTTTGTGGGTCATAAGTTAAGAGAAATTTTTGAGCATATACTTTGTGCATGGAGTTGTTGTTATGTGCCAGAGTGGGAACCGGCTCACAGCTGATACATATCTAACCTTCCAACTTCAATTGTGACACAAAATAAAAATGAGAAAACTACTTGCCAGTGTATTTTACTACGGATTACATAAAAAAATAGAATTATAGTCAATATTTCAAACTGTAAAAAGAAATATAATTAGAGGACCCTAAACTTTTTAAGAACTTTTGACCTAGTCTTGAACTATTCAATAAAAGGCTTATCAGAAAAAAAAAAGTTCAGTGGCAATCAATTACATACAATGAAGATTAAAGCCTACTCTAAATTATAATCAAGTGCAATCAATTCTGTCAATAGGATCCTGGATTCCTTGTTGGTTTTGTTGTCGATTGTCTTTGAGTCAAGCACGACTCATAGGG